AGAGGGTAGAGAGTTAGAAACATCGATGAGAGAGAAACATTGATCAGCTGCCTCCTGCACACTCCCTACTGGGGATGTGCCCTCAACCAAGGTACATGCCCTTGACCGGAATCGAACCTGGGACCTTTGAGTCCGCAGGCGGACGCTCTATCCACTGAGCCAAACCAGTTAGGGCTCAAGATAAAGTTTTTAAAAAGTAATTAGAAAGATAATTTAGTTAATGAAATTTCAAATATAGAGGAGAAAGTGAATTTAGGATATAGTTATGAATTAGAAGCAGCCCAGTTAACTTTTGGATTTGGGGGAAGAGTAGTATGAAGAAAGCAGCAGTGAGGTCAAGTGTTTTAGACCTTTATACTCTGTGGTTGAGAGTAACAATCAGTGAAACAGAATAAAAGGAAGGAGACAGACTTTAGCCTTTGTGAGTAAGAAGAGTTAGAACATATCAGGATTAAAAATTCTTGAGGCCAGACAGACGAGTAAGTTCCATAACTAGTAATAAATGCAGCTTTGTCATTTGGGAAGGAGATTGAAAAAAATATATTCGCTGATAGCAGAAGTTACTGTAGTGAGCAAGGTAATCTCAGGAAAGCATATAAAACAAGAAGAAAATGGATTAGGGGCAAAAGCTAGAGGTCACCGAATTTCTGAGACTATAAAAAATGGAGAGGTCAACTAATAATTGTCAAAATAGCAACCAGCCAAAGCAGTGCTCAGAAGTTTAGCAAGATGAAGAATTAAAATGGAGCTTGGGGTTTGATTTTTGGAAAATATTTATAACATTAGGAAGAAGGTTTTCAATTAATTGCTCTGGGTGAGTGTATTGGGGAAAGAATGTATAAGATTTCATAAACTGGAGACTATGAGCCTAGGCTGTTTTTCAAAATGTTTAGTGAAGAATAGAATAAGGCAGATCAGAAAGTAGCTTGAAGAAAAAAAAAATCACCCATGAAATGTAACTCTACCTATAACATATCCAGAACCCCTCCATTACTCGTTGTTTTTACCATTACCACCCTGGACTAAGCTACCATAATGTTTTATCTATATTATTTCAATACCTCCTAACTCATGAAATCATTTCAGAGAAGTCTTTTTAAAACAAAATTCAAATCATGTTTTCCCTTTGGATAAAACCCTTTGGATTTCTCTCAGGATCAAAGGCAGGATCCTTTCTAGTTCCTAAGAAGCTCTGGGTAATCTGTCAACACATTCTCTTTCAAGCCACCTGCCCTCCCCAGTCACTCTTGCCTCACAGGCATTCCTCACAGATCTCGTGTGCTCCCATGACCACTTATTGCCCCTTTTCATTATTTTGCTCAAATATCACCTTTTCATTAAGGGTGCCCTGAAAAATCCCATCTAAAATTATTATAACCCACTATTGTTTTGAGACTGTTTGATTTATTATTTTCTGATGTAATTTATTTATTTATAATGTTTATTGTTTGTATTTATCTCCACATCTAGAATATGGGCTCCACAAAGATAGAGAATATTGCCTGCTTTGTTTATTGATGTGTTCCAATCTTATATTATGGCAAACACATTTTAGGTTCTCAATGACTACTTTTTGAATTGGTGGATAAATGAGAGAAGGGGCGTGGAATGTAGTGTCTAACTCACATCATGTCAGTGTTATGAATTGACATTGACCTGCTTGGGGGCGGATCCTATGTCTTATTAATTTTTTAACTCTATAAAACTTGATAGTTCTTAAAGCTCAGTTTGTGATCAGTAACTACCAGTTCTTTAAGATAGGAGCTATAATTTTTTTATCTTCAAATCCAAATCCCATGACATTAAACCTGGGGAGAAGGAAGCCATTAATCAAATGTCTAAATAAATAAATTACTAATTGGAATTAGATATTGTTCTTGCCCCAGGGCAAAGAGGGGAAACAAATCTTGAAGTGGGTTGGGTTTGAATATTTGGAGTCAGGTTGAATTCTAATTCTTTTCCTCCTAGGCCTGTGCTGGGGTTTGATGGTGATATACCTCATTCAACATAACATTTTTAACTGATTCAGATGTGTATTGTATAAATAAGAACAAAAATACTGTGTCTAATACCTGGAGTCTAGTTCATCAGGGTCAATGTTAATCAAGAATTACAGAAAACTAAAAGTGAAGGGAAATACATAATGCCATGGAAAGTTAGATTCTGGGCCAAAGGAAGGGAAAATGAAAAATTTCAGTTCTTTATAGCTATTGAGTTTAATATCATCTAGCTGTTTTGTCAATCAGTGCCATGAAAATTACAGTGTATGAGCAAGAAAGTTGCCAGAAATCTTCCCATCTATAAGTATTTTCCTTTTAAAATTTTCTTTTCTTCCTTTAAAATATATTTTGGGGGTTAATTAATCTTGAGGGTAATATGAACAACTTGTGACACCACTTTCCCTTTAAGGAATAGACTACAGAATTTTAACAAAGGAGCTTCTAGAATTTTCAATGAATAACATCACAACCATAGTTAAAAGATTTCTGCAGGGACAAGCCATTATGGCTCAATGGTTGAGAATCAACCTATGAACCAGGAGGTCACAGTTCGATTCCCAGTCAGGGCACATGCCTGGATTGCGGGCTTGATCCCCAATGTAGAGCATGCAGGAGGCAGCTGATCAATGATTCTCTCTCATCATTGATGTTTCTCTCTCTCCTTTTCTCTCTGAAATAAATTAAAAAATATTAAGAAAAAAGATTTCTCAGGGAATTTCATAGTTGATGCTCATAGATTTACATTCTCCTTCAAGTTTGTCACATTTGTCCCTTGAACTGAAGGAAGAGGCTTATGGCTTGAATAGACACTTAACTATATTCAAGGAGAGACCAGCTCAGTAATTTATATGGTTTTCGTTTTCTCTGTCAAACACCAAAAGATGAAGGATCTGCCAGTACAGACTAGTTCATGTGCAGAGATGCCTCCAGTGTCTTCTAGAACACCTCTCACCATTTACCACTACTCAGTGGCCACTGGAAAACTCAATTCTTATTTTCCCCATATTATTACTATCATAGGCTTCTCAATTTTACTTTATAGGTCACGATGTAATGATAGCCCAGTGTCTACCTAGACAAAATAAGTAATAATCAAACTTTTATATCAAGCATTTGATTTTACTAATCTTCTCAACATGGCTGATATATGTATTGTCCAAAGGTTAGGCTAATATGCTCCTGGATTCACCAATATATCATCTGTGGTCCATATAAAATGACATATGAAAATTTCAAATAGAAATGTTTTCACAAGGCACAGAAAATGTATTGACTACCTGAAAACATTGTTGATTTTTTGGCAAATGAATGTTTAATTATAACCAGGGGTTCCAACCCAGGCCTCTCAAATAGGATATTTGGCAATGTAGGTAGACATTTTTTATTGTTACAATCAGTGGAAGGAGTGTTATTGGCATCTGATGGGTAAAGGCTAGGGATGCAGAGAAACATCCTACAGCTAAAGACACAGTGCACAACCCACAGCAAAGGACTGTCTGGACCAAAATATCAATAGTTCCAAGGCTGAGAAACCCTGTTTAAATGAATAATGTAAAATTACTCTTGAAGACACTTATACTACAACGCAACACATTAAGCAGTCAAAGTCTATTTTAAGTTATTCAAATATGTGAAAGATAATGCCTGTAAATATCCAATGTATGCTTAGCAAGTAACTGTTTCATAATGGGAACTCATATGTTTATTAAAATAAAACTCTAAAAATTAAACAGTTTGTTGTGATAGAAATATATCTAGAAACATTATCAAATTAGAAAAATATTCTTTCCTTGTGCATATCACTGCAATAGATAATGGTTAGTATGAACATAGATCCTTAGATCTCATATTTTGCAGTTAGAAAATGGAATGAGTTGTCATAATAAATATATCAACAGAGTAGTTTGGGCCTGGACATTCATTGACTTCTTATCTGATTCCAAGTCTGATCCATATGTTTCCAAAAAAGTATTCAATTTCATTTTTTTAGGGGGAGGAGGGCAGGGAGAAAAGTTTCTGTTTCTATTGCTATATTGGTATATCGATGATTTAAAAAAATCTGAATCAATAGAAATTACTAAGTTGCATTCCTAAACTCAAAAAAAGAAGCAAATTTTGCATTTTTGAATAGAAACTGTATGATACAGAGGTATGGTTAAGAGTGTATTTGTGGGGGAAAATACTGTAGACTTCCCAGGAAATAGGAATCAGAGGAACTCAGATAGCGTAGAGCTGAGAGTGAAGATTACACCTGTCTTTCACTGTCTATATCCTCAGTCAGGGTTATTTCCCAGGACTGAGGAGGTGAATTCACCTATTAGTCACAATTTCTGACTTTCTTTGTCAGAATGTTTAATTACATATAGCCTCTTTGCCTTTATCACATTCTTCTCCTCCTCCTTTTTTACTGCCTCTTCTATTTCCTGATACATATTTTTTTCTCTCAAAGAAATAATAAGAATAGAAATTGGAGTTCATTGTGATTTTCCTCTGTTCCTCTGTTCTTTCATCACTTTCTCACTTAAGCTCTGTGTCTCTCATGCAAAAGATCGGCACTCTCAATGTCTAGTTTTTCAATCCCAGTGGATTTACCCTTTTTCCTGGTATTACCCATTGAGCAGTGTTTAACTATAAAATAGCAGCCCAAATCTACTGCTAGCTTGTATCTCAGAAATACCCTCTTCCCATTTCTTTGACTTAGGGTTTCTCAAAACTTTACTTACGTCAATTCATATAAGGCACATAGAACTTTGAATAGTAGTGAAGAACTTCTATAATATAAATTCTGCTTACTCTGGTACCAAGAGATCAAGAGAAAATGCAATGTAAAGGCACCAGATATGTATGTGGCATAGAACCACTTCTGAATGGTTCAATGTTAAATTTTATTTGATTCTTTGTGTATTACAGAGATACACAGGCCTTGAAGGATATGCTGGGAAGGCTTAGTAATTCTGATCCTCTCTTCTTGGACCATGTGACTCTTTTCTTCTGTCCTCTTTACCTCTGTAAGCAGCAATGAGTTCCAGGTCTTATGCAGTAAGCAATCCTAATTTCAGTTTCATGGCACTCAACTTTACACCGACCATTACCCTTTTTGCACAGTTTCCTCATATCCACGCTACCATACTGGGGGAATTTCTTTCTGGCTGTAAGAAGGAAAGAATGACTGAGATTAGCAACCTAGCTATGACACACCCATATTTTAAAAGGAGAAAGAAAGTTCAAGAAGCAAAAGGTCATAGAACAGGGCAAAAGAAAAAATGCCTCTTCTAATTTATGACTGAAAATTCTACTGAGGAAAGGTGAGGTGAATATACCATCTCTTTAATGCAAAGTCAATCCTGTAAATCAGACAGTGTCTGGGACCTAAGTGAGGTGTGCCTCGCTTGCTGCCTTACAAGTTACTACATAGTAATTCAAGGATAGTTTCCAAAGTGAACAGGAAAAAAGTGTTCATAATTTATTTTCTGTTGGGTTTAGTCTCTACAATCATCTGATTGTATCTGGTTTCCCCCTTTTCTGATTTCACAAATATTATTAAGACGAAATATTGTGCTGTATGAGTTCTTCAAGAGATTTCTATTGTAGCTTGGTTTTACTTTTCTAAAATATTGAGGGGTGGGGAGTGTTATTGTTAGGCAATTTGTCTGACTTCCTACAACTCCTCTGGGTATTACCAGTTTTATTTCTTTGAAGAAATGACCTAACTTAGACACATGTCTGATGACAGCATTGATTTTTTTTTAAATTGCGAATGTCTAGAATGTGTGGCCTTTGTTGGCCATGACATGATTTCTAAAATTACCAGGCTCCAACATAAATGTTTTATTTTGTAGCTTGTAGATTGACATTCATTAGAAGTTTATTATTTAGAATAGTGCAAGATACTTGGGGAATTGGCGGATGTTGGTCTGACAGGCCATAAGATCCATTCCAAGCAAAATGTATCTTAATTTTATATTTCACATTATATGTTGGCCCATGTGTTTTCATAAGCCCTTTGTTTTAGAGTCTTTTTTTTTGTACACCCATCAGTTTTTATAACTAATGTTCTTACTCATAAGGTGAGATTAAGGACAACTGGTACGGGAGAATTCTAAATTTTGCAGATATCTGACCAAAGAGCAGATTCAACTATTTTTGTATATTTCTGGTATGAAATAAAATAAATTTTACCACTACTTTCTGCCATTAATTACAGCTTGGTGTCCTAATCAGTGCCTTTAAAGGCCAGGTCTTTCTTGCTAGAGATTCTGTCTGCATTTTCAACAGTTGGTGGTGAGTAATGATACTTATTAGTGAACGCATAGACATTATCCATATTGTTGTTATAAGAAGTTGATATAAAATCTAGCTCTTCCATTAAAATTAGCTCTCACTATGACTGAAGCAGTGCAGAATATGGCTTATAGCAGAAAAAAATAGTTACTCTGCACAGATTAAATATTAACTTCTAAATACCTTATCTAGTCTACTATTTCTGAGGAGTTTTTGTTAAACCCATATGGTTTGCTAGTGAAAGAAACCTGAATTACACTCACTTTAGACAGAGATCTGTCACATGTCACACTATTGTCCAATAGTCACTATTGTCCAATTGACCTCACCCCTTCCCTTATTAGTTCTTTATCTTAGTTCACCTTTCTAAAATTACTGTTTTCTTTCTTCTCATTCTGACCTCTACATATAGGTAGTCCCCAAAATGTGTCTTTGGATCACTAATATTTCTCTTTGCAAGCATCCATCCACTCATTCAACTATTAAGTACAGTTGACCCTTGAAGAAAACAGGCCTCAGAGGCACCCACCTCCTACAAAATCCAAAAGCCAACTATATCTTTTGACTCCCCCAAAACTTAACTACTAATAGCCTACTGTTGACCAGAAGCCTTACCAATAACATAAACAGTTGATTAACACATATTTTGGATGTTCTATGTATTATATACTATATTCTTACAACAGAGTAAGCTAGAGTGAAAGAAGTGTTATTAAGAAGACCATAAGGATGAGAAAATGATTTATAGTATTTGTTGAAAAATATGTATTAGTAAGTGAGCCCACACAGTTCAAGCCTGTGCATACTCCTTGTTAAGCTCTATGCCAGTCTCTACAGCAGGGGTTCTCACTTTGGGCACTATTGATCTTTGGTTGAATAATTCTTTGATGTGGGATGCTATCCTGTTCACTGAAGGATGTTTAGCAATATCTCTGGCTTTACCACTAGATGCCAGTGGTACCAGTCGTATCAACCTAAAACGTCTCCAGACATTGCCAGACAATACATAGTTGACTTGTATTGAAAACCACTGCTCTCCTGGTGCTATGATAAGCCAAACATACATTATCTCTACCCTCAGATACATTGTTCAGATATAATCTTCTCTGATTGTATTTGAAAATGCTGATCATTTTCAAGAAAGTGGTCTCTCTTTTCATTGCTTTCACATGTAATATTCATATCGCATGGTAGAGGAATTCTTTAAAATAATATATGAAGTCCTACTTAATCTATAAGCTAGAAATGAGCTAGATGATTCCTAAAATATTTTCAACCCATGATTTCTTATTTTTACTGATCTGCTATTTTATTCCTTAGGTTATCATTCACCTCCTTGGAAATGGGGAAAATCATGACTACACTTTCAGAACAAGACTATACTATCTATCCTATGATCAGAGTACATACCAAATTTAAAGAAAAATAATTATTGGCAATGGCACATTTTTCAATTTGGCAGATAAAGCAAAACAATAGGTGAGAATAAAAATAACACCTCATTTGTAGACATTCAGTGCATTTGTAAACTCTAGAAAATGAAGAGGAAAACTAAGTGAGTTCACTGGAAATTTCCTTACATAGAAAATGTAAGGACATTTATCTGGACATTTTTTCATCTGTAACTGTCTTAACTGGGAATAAGGTTTTCTATCTCAATTTTGAGTAAGAATTTTCTCCATTTAAAGATGAGGTATAAAAAAAAATCAACTCTGAAAGATTGTCATACAAATGTCATTTAATTTTATTCAGTTTAGTTCAACTACCATATGTTGGTGAACTAACTCTAAGATGAAAGACAAGACTTTTATTGTTTTTATTATTTCCTAAAATGTCTTTTTTTTTATAGCACCTCTTCTAATTTTGTGGAGAAAATATATATCTTGACATATTTCTTTCACTTTGATATTTTTTTTGTCAGTAATAGTAAGTGTTCTCTAAAAGTTTTGTATATATGTAATTAACAAGGACAATGACCTCATTTTGTAAATATAATAAAAAATATACAAATAGTTAACATTGATGTTCTAATCTATGTTACTATATTCCCCACATGGTTTATAATTTCTAAGTCTACAGGACACATACATTTTTTAATTTTTTGAAAAATGCATTAATAACTTTGGTTATTAGTAGGGACACCTGATTTGTCTACTACAAGGAAAAACAAATTAATAATATACAAAAACACTTGGCATAGTGATTTATTAATATTAGCTACTATTGGAATTAAGAGAAAAATATTTATCACATATGAATAGAATTTTATTTTGGCTCTTTCTAGAGCCGAAAAAAATCCAGAGATCTTTTTCGAACAATTTATTTTCTTACCTAAATTAACAACAGCATTACTTTGTTACTTTATTGATGCTTGCCCAACAGTAAAAATGTTGCAGAAATACAATTATCTGTTATATGTTACATATAACACTAAATATTTTAATGCTCGTGGTATTAAACTAATGAATGTCTGAATCAATAATATAAGAATTTATACCTCGAAGTATCCATTGAGATCACTTTTGTTAGCCCCTATTTAGAATTTTATCCACTTCAACCTTTCAATGATAATTAATCATTGAATATTATGTGTAAATTTTTAGATTGTCATGATGGACTCTTAATATTCACAATGAAAGATAAGTTAACTTAGTCTCCTAGACCTCAGTTATGATCTCTACTGGACCTAAGAAAATAATATAGGTACTAAAAATAACTATTCTTATAGTTAGTGAATTTGAGCCTGATTTCAGTGCTGGCATCATAAATTGAGTAGATTTGAGTATGTCCTTTCACCTTAAGCTCTTTAAGAAAAAGAGAATAGACTCAGTGATGGCTCTATCTCCAAAACTTATTTTTCTATTTCTGTACAATTAATTCTCACACATTAATTCAGAAGAAGAGAATCATGTTACATACCTGATGTGAGGATATAGTCCTTAAGGGGGAAAAAGTTCTCATGAAAAATAGAGCTCATATGCAAGGTATTACACTCAACATTCATATGATCAGTAACACTCAAAGCCATGAGTATTGACTAAAAATATTGAAAGAAAGATCAAGAAGGGACATGATTTGCTGATAGTACAAAGAACAGAATATTAAGGAGGGCTTTCTACTAATTAGAAGTACTATGCTACCTTAGGCTTAAAAAAAGACAAAGATAAATAGATTGATGGCTTTCTACTAATTGGAAGTACTATGCTACCTTAAGCTTAAAAGATAGATTGTTCCCTAACAATGAACCATTTACTCTTTACAGTTGATTATGTTAAAGACCATTTTCCCAGCAAGAACAGATTTTAACTGATTGTTGCAGGATGGAAGTGATAAGACTAATGTATTGATCTTATATATTTTTTAATTTTTCATCTTGAGATCATTTTAGACTTATAGAAGAGTTACAAAAATGATAGAGGCCAACTTCCCCTATGGTAACATGTAACCATGTAACCATGTAACCATGTAACCATGCCTCACTTATCAAAACTAAGAAGTTATTATTGGTATAATACTGTTAAATGAACTATAGACTTTATGTTTATGTGTTTTCCCATTATTGCCCCCCTTCTTTTCTGTTCTGGGGTCCAATCTAGAGCATCACAATGCTTTTGGTATAAAAATTACTTTAAACCCTTTTTTATTACCACACGTTTAACCAGAAATAGTGGATGTCTTCTCAAATTCATTTGCACAAATATATCCATAAACCTCTCTATGTTACCTGGTAAAATTGTGACCCAAAAGAGAAGAATAAAGAAAAAGAGATGAATCTTCATGGTAGGGAATGGCTTAGGAAAAAAGTGTCAACGGATCTTCTTTTTCAAGTCAGGTTTCTCACATAAGGAAACAGAACCCTTTTTTATTTATAGATGCTCCTGGGAAGTGGTCTAACTACTGAGGCTTATCAATAGCAAGAACATTTGTATGCTTGGTTGAATTGTGCCATGTTCAAAGAACATGGTCACAAAAATTATTATTAAGTTTTGCCATGAAAGTAACAACTGATTATGTTACCTTAATATATTCTCATGAAAACACAGTCTTTAAGGGATTTTTGAAGAATGTGGGTTTGGATTGCTAAAACATCACGGTAAAAATGTTGCAGAAATACAATCCTCTGGTATATGTTATATATAATGCTAAATATTTTTATGCTCATAGTATTAAATTAATGAACATCTGAATCAGTAATATAGGATTTTGTTTTATAGGAGTTTCCATTGAGATCACTTTTGTTTACAGATGAAAACAATGAGAACCAGGGAGGTTGAATGATTTATTTTAATTCAGATAATATGTAATTATTTAAATGTGATATGATCAGCAAATTCTGGATTCACTAGTGAGCAAATTACTTTATGCAGTAGGTTTTTAAGTCTGACATACAGTTCTTATAATAAATTATCTGATTTTAAAATTCAAAATCCAATGTTTTAATTCTGTTTATGGAAAGGGAAGTGATTTCTGATCCAATTTTCATATTGCAAAGTCTATTATTTCATATAGATGCAGAAGAGCTGCAAGTCTTGCACACTATCCAGAAACTGATGCTGTAGTCAGAGAACAGTTAATTACCTCCTACCACAGAGTCAAGAGAATTTCTAGGACAGTGGTTCTTAAACATTAGCTACATCACTACCCCCTAGAGGGCTTGTTAAAAACAGATTGCAAGACCCCTCATCCAGCATTTCCTATTTAGTAGTCCTAGAATAGAATCTAAGATTTTGCATTTCCAACAAGACCCTGAAATGCTAATAATGTAAAGGGGCCACATATTACTCTAAGAAACCTGATTCACTCATGCTATAAAACATCAGAAAAATGAATTACAGAGTTAAAGAATCTATGTCATAGTTTAGTAAAGAATGTGAGGTTTCTTTAGAAATTCTAATCAAATCCATGCATGTTACAAGTGAGGGAAGTGAAATCAAGAGAGATTAATTTACTTGTCTAGCAATTGTTATCCTTTACAAAAAAAAGTACTTCAAATTATAAAACCAAATGGAAACTTGGGGCTTATATAGAATGTGAGGACCTTGATTTAGCTATGCTTTCTTTGTGGAAAAGAAAAAGAAACTGAGAATTCAGCATCATCTGATAAGAGGAAGACCACTGCAGTACATCACTATGTAGCATTTACTCACCAAATATTTATTAAGCACTAAAATTTGTCAAGTAGGAATTTGCTTTAAGTTGATGGCATTTTGGAGAGGGAAAAAAACACCCCCAAACCAAAATTCAAATATTAACCTGGATGATCTGGCTGGGTTCTCAAATGGTTAGAGCATCGTCCCCAAGGTTGTGGGTTCCATCCTTAGACAGGGCACATACAAGAATCAACCAACGAAGGAATAAGTAAGTTGAACAGCAAACCCATGTTTCTCTCTCTCTCTCTCACACACACACACACAGAAAAAATAATAATAAATAAGAAAATATTAATCTGGAGGGTTAAATCAACTAAAATGATGGGATAAGGATTTCTGAGAATCTGTCCCTCCAATATAGTAATGAAAAAAAAACAGGTGAAATTTGCCAGTTCATGTTTATATCTTTTATGGAGTAGATTTAGATAACTTTTGACCCCAAAATAGTTTGACTTTTTTCAATTCTGTAATCCCTTTGCACTGAAATTATAAGTAATAACTATATCCACTTGAATTAAGATATATTAATGTATGCTACTAATTTGTGTTTATCATCATGAGGACACAGTGAATATTGGCCTCAGAAAGCATTATTAGCTATGCAATACCTTTCATTTTTATGTATGTAATAAAATGCTTTATTTATTTATTTATTTTAAAATGCTTAACTGTTTATATATATATATGCCTAATATGCAAATTGTCCCCGAGAGAGTTTGACCAGACTGATCGCTCACTATGACATGTGCTGACCACTAGGGGGCGGCGTCAAACAAAGAAAGGCCTTAGCCAGCAGCCAGGGAAGCGAGGCCCCGGCCAACAGCCGGAAGGCCCCAATTGGCCATGATCACCCGCCAGGCCCAGGAACCCTACCCATGCATGAATTTTGTGCATCAGGCCTCTACTATGTAAATAAAGATAGTAAAACTACTCTTGAAGTACTTACTAAACTAGTAAAGCGTGTGTAGTTCATGTGTGCAAGAAATATATGCCTACATAGAATTAAATGTGCTGGGAGTTTATTATTGGAAATGCCTGTAGGAGGGAAAAAAAGGGAGAGTGTCAGGAAAGGTTAGGAGAACCATCAGACTGGGAAGCCAGCCGGGGCCCTTAATTAGTTACAGTCACCGTTTCATGGCCCACTAAATCTTCCCTTTGTGTCATGGAGATTTACTTCACCTACGTTGGAAGAGCAGCTCCTCCTTGATTCTCATGGGTCCTATTTCCTAAAGGCAAACTCAGTAAAGGATAATAGGCGGATAAATCTCAGCCTCCATCACTGTTACTCATTGCTGAGTCTTGACTTGTACTTATTCTCTCCGTCCTCCACTGTCCATTCTAAATATCCTTCACCCTTACCTATCATATCAGAAGATTTGGTGACTTTTCTGGAGATATGACCCAACCCTTGTACTAATGGGTTTGAACTCTTAACAGTAATACTTTCAATTGAGTGTTGCTGCACAAATCCATTCAGAGTTATAATGGACAAGAAAAGACCACAAGTGTTCTACACAGTCCACACTCTTCAGTTCTCATGGATTTGTTCTGGGTAACTCATGAGGGGCAACTGCTTTCACCAAGTGAATGGGCCTTAATCACCTGAATCTAGAGTCTTCATTTCCTTACCTCAAAGTTGTTTCTGAAGAGGCGATGACAGGGTAGAACTACTGAAAGCTTGTTTTCAAAAATGATGCTTCCTCAGCATGCAACAGACTGCTGAATCTTAGAGGGAAGGTGGGTGGGTGGGGGGTAGGGAAGAAACCAACCAAAGAATTTGTATGCATATATGCATAACCCACAGATAAATAGGGTGGTGAAGGCCTGGGGCGGGGGATGGAGGATGGCAAGAAGGGGTCAATGGTGGAAAAAGGGGGGCATATGTATTACTTTCAACAATAAAATTTTTTTTTAATATAGTTTATTGATTTTTTACAGAGAGGAAGGGAGAGATAGAGAGAGAGAAACATCGATGGAAGAGAAACATCGATCAGCCGCCTCCTGCACACCCCCTACTGGGCATGTGCCCGCAACCGAGGTACATGCCCTTGACCAGAATCGAACCTGGGACCTTTCAGTCCGCAGGCCGACGCTCTATCCACTGAGCCAAACCGGTTTCGGCAACAATAAAATTTTTTTTTAAAAATTATGTTTCCTCTAAATTTTTGGACTGCCTAAGGTCCACTGTGATCTACTTATAACCACTAAATCCATGGTACATGGAACTGGTTCTTGGCAAAATACTGCCATAAATCAACTCTCTGTGAGAGTGTGTATGAAATCACTGAAGGAGGACTGAAATGCAAATCCTCCATGTAACTTCATGACAATTATTTCTGAATTGTTCAAGCTTTAATATTAAATTTCCTTTTTTTATTCATTATAAAGACACATGACCATATGTTCTCACCTCTAAATGATGCTATGAAATGATCCTGTCATAGCCTCATGTTTCTCTTTGTTTCATTCTGTTTATAATACTCATAGAATGACCTACAAAAGAGGTCACAGATCCAAAGCAGAAAGAAATCTTTTCTTTTCTTTGCAGATCATTTCACCCTCACTATGAAAAGTTCCATATTCATATTCATGACCATATTGCTGTGACACCTTTTTCTACTTCTGGCTGTTGGAAGGAAAGAATAGATGGAATTGTAATCCAGCTATGATATATGAAATGTCCTAACTCATGTGAATTTAGATCAGGAGTCAGATATGGCTCTCAGGCCAAATTCGACCATGGACAGTTTTGTAAATAAGGTATTGTTGAACACGATGTACTTATTTGTTTAGATGTTGTCTGTGCCTGCTTCTGCCCACAGCATACTTGTTAATTGCAACAATGATAGTAGTGGACTGTAAAACCCAAAATGTGTACTATCTGTTACTTTATCTTTACAAAAAGTTTCCCAATGCTTGACTTACACTTTTTCATTAATACTAGAGAGTGTTTTCAGGAGAGAAACTGGTAGGAGCATTTAAAGGCTACTTCACTGATTGATGAAGACTGACTGTAGACTGATTTGAGGGAAACACACTCCTGGGATACCAGTTCTATTGAATCCTTCACGCTTTTGTGCATTTTTTTAAAAAATATATTTTTATTGATTTCAGAGAGGAAGGGAGAGGGAGAGAGAGATAGAAACATCAATGATGAGAGAGAATCATTGATTGGCTGCCTCCTGTACACCGCCCACTGGGGATCAAGCCCAAAACCCGGGCATGTACTCTTGACTGGAATTGAACCTGAGACCCTTCAGTCTGCAGTCTGACACTTTATCCACTAAGCCAAATCAGCTAGGGCCTTTTGTGCATTTTTATCTTCAAGAGCCCACCAGGTTATCAGGGTGAAGAGTGGAGAAAAATCCCCTCTCCCCAGCAAGGAGAGGAGGAAAAAGGCCCTTTGAAAAACTCCCAGAATGTCTTACTCTCCTTAACATGAAAAGATATGGATGAAGCTTAAATGCATATTACTAAGTAAAAGAAGCCAGTCTGAAAAGGCTATATATGTTGTATATTCCAACTATGTGACATTTTGGAAAAGGCAAAATAATGAAAACTAAAAATATCAGTGGTTGCCATGGGGGAGGGAGGGATAAATAGGCATAACACGGATTTTTAATGCAGTG